AGCGAGCGAGTGTGTGTGTGAGACCGAGTGTGTGTGTGTGTGTGGGAGCGAGCGAGCGAGTGTGTGTGTGAGACCGAGTGTGTGTGTGTGTGTGGGAGCGAGCGAGCGAGTGTGTGTGTGAGACCGAGTGTGTGTGTGTGTGTGGGAGCGAGCGAGCGAGTGTGTGTGTGAGACCGAGTGTGTGTGTGTGTGTGGGAGCGAGCGAGCGAGTGTGTGTGTGAGACCGAGTGTGTGTGTGTGTGTGGGAGCGAGCGAGCGAGTGTGTGTGTGAGACCGAGTGTGTGTGTGTGTGTGGGAGCGAGCGAGCGAGTGTGTGTGTGAGACCGAGTGTGTGTGTGTGTGTGGGAGCGAGCGAGCGAGTGTGTGTGTGAGACCGAGTGTGTGTGTGTGTGTGGGAGCGAGCGAGCGAGTGTGTGTGTGAGACCGAGTGTGTGTGTGTGTGTGGGAGCGAGCGAGCGAGTGTGTGTGTGAGACCGAGTGTGTGTGTGTGTGTGGGAGCGAGCGAGCGAGTGTGTGTGTGAGACCGAGTGTGTGTGTGTGTGTGGGAGCGAGCGAGCGAGTGTGTGTGTGAGACCGAGTGTGTGTGTGTGTGTGGGAGCGAGCGAGCGAGTGTGTGTGTGAGACCGAGTGTGTGTGTGTGTGTGGGAGCGAGCGAGCGAGTGTGTGTGTGAGACCGAGTGTGTGTGTGTGTGTGGGAGCGAGCGAGCGAGTGTGTGTGTGAGACCGAGTGTGTGTGTGTGTGTGGGAGCGAGCGAGCGAGTGTGTGTGTGAGACCGAGTGTGTGTGTGTGTGTGGGAGCGAGCGAGCGAGTGTGTGTGTGAGACCGAGTGTGTGTGTGTGTGTGGGAGCGAGCGAGCGAGTGTGTGTGTGAGACCGAGTGTGTGTGTGTGTGTGGGAGCGAGCGAGCGAGTGTGTGTGTGAGACCGAGTGTGTGTGTGTGTGTGGGAGCGAGCGAGCGAGTGTGTGTGTGAGACCGAGTGTGTGTGTGTGTGTGGGAGCGAGCGAGCGAGTGTGTGTGTGAGACCGAGTGTGTGTGTGTGTGTGGGAGCGAGCGAGCGAGTGTGTGTGTGAGACCGAGTGTGTGTGTGTGTGTGGGAGCGAGCGAGCGAGTGTGTGTGTGAGACCGAGTGTGTGTGTGTGTGTGGGAGCGAGCGAGCGAGTGTGTGTGTGAGACCGAGTGTGTGTGTGTGTGTGGGAGCGAGCGAGCGAGTGTGTGTGTGAGACCGAGTGTGTGTGTGTGTGTGGGAGCGAGCGAGCGAGTGTGTGTGTGAGACCGAGTGTGTGTGTGTGTGTGGGAGCGAGCGAGCGAGTGTGTGTGTGTGAGAGAGCGAGCGAGTGTGAGTGTGTGAGTGTGTGGGAGAGATTGTGTGAGGGAGAGAGTGTGTGAGCGAGAGAGAGTGTGAGTGTGTGAGCGAGCGAGAGAGTGTGTGAGCGAGAGAGTGTGTGTGTGAGAGCGTGTGTGTGTGTGAGTGAGTGAGTGAGCGTGTGTGAGTGAGTGAGCGTGTGTGAGAGAGAGAGTGTGAGTGTGTGAGAGAGAGAGTGTTAGTGAGAGTGTGTGTGAGAGAATGTGTGCGAGTGTGTGTGTGTGTGTGTGTGTGTGAGAGAGAATGTGTGAGTGTGAGAGGGAGAGTGTGAGTGTGAGAGGGAGAGTGTGAGTGTGAGAGGGAGAGTGTGAGTGTGAGAGGGAGAGTGTGTGAGTGAGAGGGAGTGTGTGTTGTGAGTGAGTGAGAGGGAGGGAGTGTGTGTTGTGAGTGAGTGAGAGAGGGAGTGTGTGTTGTGAGTGAGAGAGAGAGGGAGTGTGTGTTGTGAGTGAGAGAGAGAGGGAGTGTGTGTTGTGAGTGTGAGAGAGGGAGGGAGTGTGTGTTGTGAGTGAGTGAGAGGGAGGGAGTGTGTGTT